TTAGAAAACTACAGATTAACATTATCTGTATTTTTATTGTATTTTTATTTATTTTGTTAAACATTTCACAATTACATTTTAATCTGGTTCCTGCAGTTAGCTATTAGTAGTAGTAGTAGTAGTAGTAGTAGTAGTAGTAGTATTACTACCTCCAGGCTACCTGCAGCCTGCAGAGTTTGACACCTATGGTCTGGAAACTGGATCTCTCAGTAGCCTAAACTCACATTGCCTTGGGTTTAAGAATAAACCTATCAAGGTTGGAAGGGAGAGCCCCATTACTGGCTAATTGTAAAATGAGAAAGAAGAGGAGGGATTAGCTGGGTAGCCTAGTGGAGAGAGCAGTAGGCCTGAAGTCTGGAAGCCTCAAGCTCAAATCTGACCTCAGACATGCTTAATAGCTGTGTGACCCTAGACAAAGTCACTTAACTTCTGTTTGCTTCAGTTTTCTCAAATGCAAAATGGGGATAATAACAGCACCTCCCTCTCAGAGTTTTTGTGAGGATCAAATGAAATAAAACAAAGTGTAACTTAGCACAATGTCTGGAAAATAGTAGGCTCTGCACAAATATGTATTCCCTTCCCATTTCAGCTGTTAACATTCAACAATTTTATGAAACAGAGTAGGAAAGGGGGAACAGAGAGGACTGTGTTCAGCTGTTTTTAGGCCTACTGACTGATTTCCTCCAAATCTACTGCCTAATTTTCACTAGATTCTGAGATAGGGACAAACCTGAAGAGATGTTGGAAAATTTCAAAGATAATCCAGAGAGGACTGGGGCTGAAGCCAAAGAATCATACTGCTCTCACATTTTGATTATCTGATTACTCCACCCACAAGCTCCTGTACCTCTAAGTAATATCAGTTCTGTCCAAGGCTTCCTGCTTTCCATTATCAAGACTACAAATTCAATCAGTTTGAGACTTTATTATGGGAATACGTGAGGGGGTTGGGTACTCAATGAGATGCTTATTTTCAGCCCTTTCACAAGAATATAGTGATGGCATCATCAAATTCCATATCTGTTCATCCATCCATCTCACAAACATGTCTTAAGTATACATGATGTGCAAGGGACTCTATTAGGTTTTAAGGATAGAAATTAGTAAGACACAGTTACTTCTCTCACAGAGCTCAAAGTCAATTAAGAGAAATAGTCCCAATCCAAGATTCCACTGATGTAGGGAATGTTCCTCAACAATGCTGACTGCTGATTTAAACTTGTACCTTTTCTTCAGCTTCAAGGGAGTTGCTTGGGGGGCACTGAAAGGTTAAGTGACTTGCCCTAGGATCATACAAGCAGTACATATGAGAGGCAGGACCTGAACACAGGTCTTCCTGACTTGGAGGTTCACTCTCTAGCCACTACAAAATACTGCCTCTCGGTAGTAGGAGAAATAAGAAAGCTATTCCAGCTCTACAACTACAATGAGAAAATTATCAGTCAGAGGGGGAGGTATGATTCTCCCCAGTGTAGGAATCAAGGGAAATGGACCATATTGGAGAATGAACTTGCCTAAGATTACACAACCGTTCTTCAATGGATGGGGCAGCTAGGTGGCACAGTGGATAGAGCACTGGCCCTAGAGTCACAAGGACCAGAGTTCAAATCTGGCCTCAGACACTTACTAGCTATGTGACCTGGGGCAAGTCACTTAGCCCCAATTGCCAAAAAACAAAACCAAAAAATAAAAACAACCCAACAATTCCTCAATGGAGATAAGTCTCCCCAAGCTGGACTCAGGAGTCAGAAAAGCCAGAGACAGGAAGAAAGAGGAGGGAGGGGAGTTCACAGCAAAGATAGGCAAAGTAGGCAGTTGCTTAGGGCATGACATGCAGGGATCGGATTAGGGGAGAGCTCACAATAAGGGAAACTTATTAATATTACATTTTATAAATAAACTTATTTGTAATGGCAGAAAATTCACTCTCCATGGCATATAAGTACATATTTTTTAAAACATAGGACCATAGAACCAGACTTGGAAGGATGCTTGGAGGCCATCTGGTCCAAACCTTTGTTTTGCAGATGAGGAAAATGAGCTTCACTGATGTTAAAATGACTTGCTGGGAAAACTAGAACACTAATGCATTGTTGGTGGAGTTGTGGACTGATCCAACCATTCTAAAGAGCAGTTTGGAACTATGTCCAAAGGATTATAAAACTGTACATACCCTTTGATCCAGCAATATCACTACTAGGTCTGTGTCCCAAAGAGATCAAGAAAAAGGAAAAAGGACCCATGTGTAAAATAGCTGCCCTTTTTGTGGTGGCAAAGAATTGGAAATTGAGGGGATGCCCATCAATTAGGGAATGGCTGAACAAGTTGTAGCATATGAATGTAATGGAATACTATTGTGCTATAAGAAATGATGAGGCTTCCAGAAAAAACCTAGAAAGACTTACATGAACTGATGCTGAGTGAAGTGAGAAGAACCAGGAGAACATTGTACACAGTAACAGCCACATTGTGCCATGATCAACTATGATAGACTTAGCTCTTCTCAGCAATACAATGATCCAAGACAGCTCCAAAAGACTTATGATGGAAAATGCTATCCATGTCCAGAGAAAGAACTATGGAATCTAAATGCAGATCGAAGCGTACAATCTTCACTTTTTGTTTTTTTCTTTCTTATGATTTTTCCCTTTTCTTCTGATTCTTCTTTCACAACATGACTAATGTGGAAATATATTTAATATGATTGTATATGTATAACCTATATCAGAGTGCTTGCTATCTTGGAGAGGGGAGGAGGGGAGAAAAGGAGGGAGAAATATTTGGAAATCAAAATCTTATAAAAGTAAACGTTGAAAACTATCTTTACATGTAATTGGAAAAAAATACTAGTAAGTGAAAAAAAATGACTTGCCCAAGGTCATGCTGATAGTAAGAATCAGTCACAAGATTTGAACCCAGGCCTTTTGATTCTACAGCCAGCATTCTTTCCACTTACTACATTGTCTATACAGTAGAGGCTAAGTTAGACAATAAGACAAAAGAGCGATGATTTTCAAATCTTGTCGAGAGCACCCAAATATCCTGCTGGGTCACCTCTCCCAATTGCACTCCCTCCTCACGTCCACTTCTTAGGCTCCTTAAGTTCTTTCCAGGCTCAGCTCAGGAGCCATCTTTTACAAGAAGCCTTGGCTGGTCTCCATATTTTTAGAGCTCACTGTCTCGTCTTCAAATAATCCTGTGTATACTTGTCTGTTTACATATTGTTCCCTACCCAGCACTCTCCCCTCCCCAAGAAAAGTGTAAGCTCCTTGAGGCCAGGAATTACTTTTAATTTTGTCTGTATCACTTAGCACAATTCCTGGTATAGAGTAGGTGCTTAATAAAGGCCTGTTGGATTGGCTCTGGTCAAGACTCTAGATGTTCATGCTCCATTAGCTCTGAACTAGTGACAACATCCTATTCACCTATCTTGAAACCTGATTGATTCTAAGAGGCTAAAGCTCAGTGGAGGTGAAGAGAATGGGTTAATGCCTAACCAGTGGACCTCCTCATTCATCACGATTGTTGAATCCTAAGAATATGATAATTTCCACTCAAGTCAGACATAGAACCCACTCAGCCCAGTGGTCTGTGAATGATCAAGGCAAAGAAGAATGTGTGAAAAGGATAGCTGTCTTCAACTCTGTGTTCCAAGCTGCCCAATTCCCCCTTAAATAGGGGGCAATTAAATATGAGAGCAAGCTAGAAACATTAGGATACATACTTCCAAAAATAAAGACTGAGAAAAGCTATGAGCAGTACGGAAAAAAAAAATCACACAACCAGTATGGACAACGTGAGCATAGACTCATTCACCAAATCCTAGTGTATTAGAATGGGGGGGGGGGGGCGGGGTGGTTCTTTCAACCCTGAGGGAGATTACTTTAGGACAAATAGAAAGGCAGAAATACTATTCACACAATGAGGAAAAGATGTGATGAGCTCATGACTTTAAGAAGTGGTACAGCAGGCTGAAAATATAAATGGATTTCAAAATAGCTTTTGATAGATTTGTGGATGGTACAACAAAGAGCAAGCCTTTAATTATTTTAGCTGCCCCTCTCAGGACCTTCTCCAGCAACTTGTGACTGCCTTAAGGTAAATTGAGCAGAACGGCATACAGGGAGCCAGGTAGAGACATTTGCTCCCCATTACCCCATGATTCTATAGAGAGTGAGGTAATGTTTTCTGTTGTTTCTGCTGCCCACTTTGCTAACGATGCCAGTATCTTGTTGGCCTTTTGGGGCAGCGATTCATTGGACCCATATCTTCAGGGAACAGCCTAGAATGACTTCCAGGTCCTATTCCTGGGTCATCACAACCTTTCTGAATAGCCCTTGGAGGGTCGAAGTCCAGTTGGGAAAGTCAATAAGCCTCATAATTAACACACACACACACACACACACACACACACACACACACACACACACACGTGTTTCACTGTTAAGTTCCCCCAACTCCCAGCCCCCAGCAGCAGTCACTGACGGCAGAAGAGGAGAGGAGTGCCTCCAGAACCAGAGAGAGCTGGCTTCAGTAACAGGGGTCACAGAGGATCCAGTCCTCCTCTATGATCCACTCTGGCTATTCTAACAAGGGGATGGAAAGAGAGTCTTCTGTTTTCAAGTCCCTTCAGTCTTGCAGAAGAAAAAAAAAGATATCCATCTGTACCAACCTGGTCCCTCCTTCCTTCCCCTCAATGGGGCCTGCTCAGCTTTGGGTCTAAAGATGCTCCAAATTCCTTCCCTTAGGGTGATAGTAAGAATCACAAAATCAGGAAATCACCCAATTTAAGATTTGGAAGGTACCGCAATAGCCATCTAGTCAAACATATACACAAAAGGAATCTCTAACAAACAAATCTCACCCACTGGGTGGAGGGAGGGAGGCCACTAAGTTCTCATTTGGTCCTCTAACCAGCAGGTACCAGACATGGAATTCAGCCACCCAGAATTTTCTCCCACATGCACACACTTGGAGGGGGAAATTTAGAAAGTACTCACCAATTCACTACACATGGACTGAATCCCCGGGCACCTCAAGAACTCAAAGGCCGGGAAGGAAAAACAATCTTATCAGAACCAACGGCAGCCAATCTGTTTGCTAAAGCAAAAGGGAACCTGCATGTTTGGTTCTCCCATTCCTCATTCACTTCGCTGGCAACCTCTGGGATCCCACAGAGCGCCCTCAATTAACTGTGAGCAGACCCCACAGTCCAGGAGAAGAAGACAGCAAAAGCAGTTCGGTAACACCAAAAAAAAAAAAAAGGCAGAGGGGCTGAGAGGAGACAGGCATTAAGTCCCTGAAGGATGACTTAGTCCGGGGGTCCAGCTCCCTGCCTCTATCAGAGAGCAAACGTCTACCTGGAAAAAATGCCCGGAGCAGCTACGCTTTGGTGAGACTAGCAGGGAGCCATCTGAGCCCAGTGGGGCAGCCAGCTCCTGTCTGGAGGCTCCCAGCAGTTCCTCCCCAGCAGCGGCACAATGCAGCCCTCCCAAGATCAGCTCTGAGCACCGCTCAGGAGTCTGGCTCCCAGTGTGAGACAAAAGCGTTTGCAAAGGCTACAGGAGGAGGCGGCAGCGGTGGCGGCAGCGGCGGCGGCAGCAGCAGCGAGCCCCAGACACACCAATCACCGGCCCCCAAAGCCCGTCCTCCTGCTGCCCTGCCCGGAGCCTCCTTACTGACTGGCCAGCTCCCTTTGGAGTTTTCTTCAAAGACGTCTGCAAATGATTTATCCTTAAAGGGAGACGCTTGATCGTCCCTGAAATACTCTTAACTTTGGCTGGATCGGAAGGTGATGGTGTAATGCTTACTCCTAGGGCAAGAGAGGACACGGGTGTCAGTACTGTATGAAATAGAGTTTATATGGGTAAGAGAGGATGTTCAGAAGTGTGTAGGAGAGACAGCAGATGTGTGTGTGTGTGTGTGTGTGTGTGTGTGTGTGTGTGTGTGCGCGCGCGCGCACGTACGTGAATGGGGCTCTGGGTCTGTCCATTGTCCGTCTGATTGGGGGATGGGGGTGCTCTGGGAGTGAGGGGGTCACTACTTCCTTCTCCTGCCATCGCTGAGTCGCTCCTCTGCCACCAGAGCCTGACAATGTCAACCTCATTCCTAGCTTGCTTCTCTGTCAGCAGACCCACTTCCTCAGCTGTTTTCTCTCGTTTTTAATAACTTTGGACAGGAACTATTCCATGAAGGCTGTGTCCCTAGAGCCTCCCTATCTTCGTCCAACTTCAGTTGGCTATCTTCATCCCTTTAAGCCCTTCTTAGCAAGTGACCCAGGGGGTTTCTCTTCCCATCTGAGTGACATTTAGGGTGTGGGTGGGGGGTTCATGGAGAAGACTTGGGATTGAATACCCAGCTCTGCTCTTTATAGGGTCCTTGGCAAGTTAACTTCCTTGAGCCTCAGTTTTCTTTTCTGTAAAATAGGGGAATGATACATGCACTACCTGATGAGACTGTTGTGAAGAAAACTTTGCAAACCTTTAAAGGGCTATAGTATACAATGTGAGCTTTTATTATAATGGAGGGATCCATGTAGTGGTAAGAGCACCGGCCTGGACTGTGTTAAAGATCTTAAATTCAAATCTTGGCTCTGCCATTTCCCAGCTGTGTGATCCTGGACAAGTCATTCATTCAGCCTCTCTGTGTCTTAACTTGCTTAATTCTAAAATGGGAATAACAATGCTTGTACTACCTACTTCACAGGACTGTTTCAGGAAAGCTTAAAGAATTATAGAAATAAAAGTTCTATTTTTATCTTCTCCCAATCCCATGCTCCCACTCCCACCAGTGGTTCAGGGTAAAGATGAACCAAATCTTTTGTTTTCTCATTTCTCTTGTTCCTGTCCTGTGGTTATTCTTTTGTGTATCTGCCCTGGGCAGAGAGGAAGAGACACTGCTATCAGGTAATAGGGTTACCACCAGTCAGCGGTTCTGGGACAAGCTGGAGGTTCCTAACTAGGAGGAGGGTTTCCTACTCTTATCCAATTGTCTTGAAATAGTTTGGCAAAAAAACAGTAACTGGTGAGACAAAGCCATAAGAGGCAATTTGTTCCACAGACATAACTGAAAAATAGAGAGTTGTTCAGAAATCCCTGGACATATATCCCAAGGAAGTTAAAGACAGAGACAAGGAGTAAATAAATTCAGGATATTCATGGTGGCACTCTGTGATAGCAAAAGAATAGAAACAAAGTAAGTGCCCATATATTAGGAAATGGCCGAAACAGTTATGCTACCTAATGGGATATTAATGTTCTATATGAAATGATGAATGTGAAAAATTCAGAGAAATGTGAGAAGACTTTTATGATTTTATTCAGAAAGAAATAAGCAGAACCAAGAGAAAAATACATGATGACTAGAAAATAAGAAGATTAGCTAAAAGGAAGCTAAACTCTAAGAATGGGAAGGCCAATGTAGGTACTGGAGGAATGAATAAAAGAAATTATGAGATAATAAAATATTCCCTCCTCCCTCATAGCAAAGGCAGGAATCTATGAGGACAGAATCTTGTATTCATTGTCAGACAAAGATTTCTGTATCATATATTTTGTTCAATTGTTTTTTTTTGTTACAAAGGAAGGTTCAATATGGAGGAGGGTGGGTGAGAAGTGACTATAATATAGACAAAAATCATCAATAAACATATATGTGTACATATAGACATATACATATATATACATACATACATATATTTAATAGGACACTGGGCTAAAGTCATAGAACATCTGACCTGGAGAGAAACTTAGAGGTTATTTAATCCAACCTTTCCATTTTACAGATAAAGAAATTGGGCCCAGGGGAGGGAAATGACTTGTCTACAGTCACCCAAATAGTAAATTAGTAGAGTTGGGATTTGAGCTCAGGTCTTTAACTCCAAATCTGGTTTTCTTCCCATATGACAATGCCTAAGCATAATTCAATGTGGTTTGGCCATTTTTCAGTGATGGGGTTTGGTTACAGTGTATTAACAATAGTATTGCAACCTTAAGAGAGACAGACCTATGCCTTCTGAGAGCTCTTATAGATGACCTAAGATTGGGAGAGAGGAAGGGGGTGGGGAGCTCTCCCTTTCCCAACCTCCCTAACCACCTTCTTCCATAAGTCACAGAGACTACCATTTTATTGAGGAGGGAGGAGAGGGGAGGAATCTGCCATGCTTCTTAGGCTCTGAGCCCCAGATAAAGGGTCAGGTCTCCCAAGTTTGGCTTGTGGCTTTGATATTCTGCTCCTTCCTTGGAAGCAATTGCTAGTCGCTCAACCTTGGCCCTTGCTGCCTGTGAGATGGGCAGGGGAAACCTATTTCTCTTTCCCTTTTCCATTGCTTTGTCCAGTTTATGCCAATGGATTGGAGGAAGGAGGAAGGAACAAAGAGAGAGGGCAAGGTGCTTGGGGTGAAGGATTTAAGACAGGGATGAGTGCTTTGATGACAGATTACAGGCCCACAGGATGCCCAGGGCCAGAGGGTGATTGTCTTTAACACACCAGAGTAGATCTGAACCACTGAATTCCTAAGACAGGAACAAACTAACCCTGGAGAAAAGAAGATGTCTAGGCTGGGTCAGGTGGGTTGATTAACAAAGAGTGAAGGGAGGTCTGATCTGTGAAAGACTTAATGCATTTTTTTTTAAAGACCAGAAGTCCAGATGAGCTGATTCAATATGCAGAGCCTGAAGGAACAATTAGAAAGTTAGAGCAGAAAAGAAGAAAAAAAAGGGAAAAAAAAGAGAGACCAGAACTGGAAATGGGAGATGGAACCCAGTATGTGCTGAAGGATACAGAGGCATCTGCTCTAAGAAACTATGCTGGATCTGGGTACCCTAAAGCTAGGGAAACAATTGGTCAGCAGGTCCTATGCAGCAAAGCCCAAGGGGCCACTGTCTGAGTAGATTAGGCAAGAGTCTGCTATGACAGTAGCTTCAGCCAGAAACTGGGAACCAGTATAAGAAAGGGACTTCCTTCTTCCTCTAGGGCCAATGAGACTGGGGGGTGGGGCGGGGAACAAGCATTTATTAAATGCTTACTATGTGCCAGGCAGTTTATGAATACTACCTCATTTGATCCTCACAACAACCCTGCAAGGTGGGTGCTGTTATTATCCCCATTTTATGGATGAGGAAACTGAGGTTAAGTGACTTAAGTCACACAACTAGTAAGTGGCTGAGGCACTTCTTAACTTGAGGGTCAGTACTCTATCTACTTGCCTCCAAACAGTCAAAAGGAGACTAAAGAGGGTGAGCTGGGGGGGAGGGGAATTTAATGTCTTTGTGATCACAGTAGAGCTGGGAGGAATTTGAGAGATTATCTAATCCACCCCCCTCATTTTACAAATGAAGAAACCAAGGCCAGAGAGATTAATTAGGTAATATGTCCAAAGTTGCACAGATAGTAAGTAGATGAGACAGAAGTTAAACCTAGGTCATTTGATTTCCAGTTCAGCTCTTTTCACCATATCGAACAACCGTGTCCATGATCAGGGCTGGGGAAATAGACAAAGGTACTATTTCTTGATACAGAATATTTGTAATTCTTTTTTTCCTTTCTTAATTTTTTTTCATTTATCATGAACCTTAAAATCATTAACAAATAGAAACATTTTCATATACAAAGAATAAAGACAATGATTGCATTTAAAACTGTAAATTTCTGTTATAAACCTTTTTAAAAAATTTATTTTAGTTTCAACTTTTATTCAATTTAATAGGCTAGTAACAATATTGCCATTTGTTTTATTTTTTTCCTTTTGGTGGACTTCTTGCTTGCTTCTAGGATAGAATGATGAGCCCGTAGTCAGGAAGACTTGAATCCAAATCCTGGCTCAGATACTTATTAGCTATGTGATCCTGGGCAAGTCATTTAATGGCTGACTGCTTCAGTTTCCTCATTTGTAAAATGGGGATAATAACACTTATCTCCCAAGGTTGTTGTGAGGATCAAATAAAATAATATTTGGTTAGTGTTTAGCACAGTGCCTGGTACTTAATAAATTCTTATTTCCTTTCTTCCTTCCCTTCCTTCCTTTCCTTATTTTCTTCCTTCCTTCCTCCTTACTTGTTCATCCTAGCCCCTCACTACTCAAAAGTTCCAGGAAAAACCCAGGAGCCTAGGAAGCAAAAGACCAGGTTTCTAATTCTAACTCCAGACCTTAGGACTTTGGGAAGGTTGCTTGCCTTTTCTAGGTCTCAGTTTCTACTCTAACAATGTCAATTTCTATGAAATAGTTTGATTTGGTACAGGGTGTGTGGCACCTAGAAGGTACTCAATATTTGTTGATTAATTTATCGATTGATCAAGACAGGAAGTGTCGGTGCCTAAAGGAAACTCCTGCAGATTGGGAGTTCCTAGAAATTTTAATGTTGAAAACCTGGCCTAAGCTGAGTACTTGGAATTCACCTCACCTGTGCATAAACTCTATTCCCCTCTCCTCTCTTGCCCCTACCAATTCCTCTGACTGCAAAGATTAGCGGTGGATTTGAATTTACTATGCCTGTTGGAAGATGGTGGAGAGGGATGGGGAAGGGGTCTGCCTGAGAAGATAAAGGGGAGAAAGTCCATGAACCCCGGGCTTCCAATCTTAAAGGATCAATTTTTTCTTAAACACTCAGGT